AGGGGGGGAGGAGGAGGAGGAGGAGGAGGAGGGGGAGGAGGAGGAAGAGGGAGAGGAGGAGGAGGAGGAGGAGGAGGAGGAGGAGGAGGAGGAGGCAGAGCGTCGAGAGGGACAGCTCGTCCACCTTCTCGCCGACCGCCCTGTGGCAGATCAGCCGCTCGGCTCGCGCCGCGAGCAGTCGCACGAGCCTCCGGCTGGGAGAGATGTGCAATGGCGAAGTCGCCCAGATGCCCCCAAGATTGCCCCAAACTGGCCCAAGAAGGCCCCGAGAGAGTCCCCGAGCGAGCCCCAGAGAGTCCCCGAGAGACCCTTGAGAATAGCTCCAGATCGCCACCGCCGTCAACGTCGTCGTTAATACATGGCGAAGTCGACTTTGCATGGCTGAGCTTGCTGGAAGGCCAGCGCAGCCCTACGAAGGCCCCCCTGGCGCGAGGGGGCAAGGGCGAGGTTTGGGGGAGAGGCTCAGGTGGGAAGGGTGATCGGCAGACCTCCGAACTCATGCCGAGGAACACCTCGCAGCAGAAACAATGCTTAGGCGAGTCGGGCCCCAGGCCACAGACGCAACAACGGGCGTCGGGCTTCTTCATCCGCGTCGAGGAGACCCACACCCCACTCCAGGTCTTTCAGGCCGCCCTCCACCATGAGGGGAGGGATCAAGCGCACATAAAAGGGACACCCCCTGCCAGCATCTTCCGCCATCCATGCCAAAAAACCATGCACTGTGCACATTGCGGGGCGCCCCCTGCCAGCACCCCCCGCCATCCCTGCCAAAAACACGGCAGCATTTGGACAGTGCGGGGCGCCCCGTGTTCATGTTGCTTGGGATTTGACAACAACGGCGGCGGGGGGGGGGCTCTGCGCACGCTCGAAATCTTTGTCAAAACACACAATTGCATCCGCTTTCCTACGCGTCCCAAGACGCTCTCGGGCGCTACTTGGACGCGTCGCGTGGTTTCTGGCCCCAGAGAGCTGCCCGTGGGGCTCCACGAAAGGCGCAGTTGGGCCCGAGAAGCGTCCAAGATGGCTCAAGAACACCCCGAGACGCCCACGCTGGCACCATGCAGGCCCAGGAGGCCCCCAAGACGCTCCAACTGGGCAACAAGAGGATCCTCCAGATGGCCCCGGCACGACCCAGGGGAGGCCTCCGAACCGTCCCAGAACAGCCCAGGAGGCCCGCAAGACCGACCAAACCAAGATGGCCCGCACCAGCGTGGACGGGGGGGAATGGATGCTTCAAACGCGACACGAGGATTGACACATACCTTTGTTGGATAGTCTATATTGTTCCGAGGGTACCCCCTCTCGCGAAGCCTCGCATGCTTGCCCTATGTTGACGGTCGGTTTCTTTGGAGCCGCTCTGACATCCTATGACGGTTCCACGACGAGGCAGGTAACATATTTCTTCTTGCAGGTGGTGGCCCCAACGAACGGATCACATTTGCACCGCACTGCACGAGAGAACCGATATCGCTGGCGCTTCTGATTCCATCCGTCTCACCGCATGCCCAGAGCTGCGTTTTCGAGGGGATGCTGACCTATGCAGTCCTCGCGATCAGGGTCCCACGCTCGTTGCGGCTCATGTGTTGGGAGGGCGGGTGGGACTGAGCGAGATGGCGTGCGGCTTCGGAATAACTGGATCACTGTTCCCAATTTATAAGCACCCCCTCCTCCGCCCGGCCAACAGCCAACCCGGAACAATGAGCACACCATGCGGGCACCCCCCCACCATCCTTCATAAAAGATCGTACAACATGCACATTGCGGGGCCCACCCTGCCAAGACCCCCCACAATCCCTGTCAGAAACAATACGAAGGGCACATTGCAGCAAAATCTGGACAGTTCGCTGGCGCCCTGTAAGCACGTTGTGCTGTTTTCTGACTGGGATGGAGTGGCACCGTCCCTAGAGGAAGCGGGTTGGGCTAGACCAGCGGGTCAATCTCGGGCTGCGGCAAGCGTTGAAGCTGCATTACATACAAATCGTCAATTAGACAACGATCTGGCCTTGTGCACCGTGGAACACGGTCGCAAACCAAAAAGCAAAACAAACATACCATCAACAGATTGCCTCGATTTCGCGCATTGCTCTGGATAGTACTGCGCATTTTGTTATTGGAATCGCCCTCTTGGGTGGATCTTGAAAGATCTCAGGATGCGTTCCAACCAGAATTTCCGAGGTAGCCCACTCGTGGTAAAGCACAGTGCTCTCTTATACAAAATGATCACGATAACAACGTTCGCTGTTCCCCATCCGACAGGTTGGGGTTGTTAGATTTCAAGAATAGATCTCCATACCGCGACCGCCAGACCCCAAGTTGTCCCGAGAGTCCCCGAGAATTCCTTGGAGTCCTTGGGAGTCCCGCCTCGCGCCCTGGACAAACACGACTGCATACCGCGGCCGCCAGACCCCAAGTTGTCCCGAAAGTCCCCAGAAGTCCCTGTGAGTCCCGCCTCGCACCCTCGAAAAACACGAAACGACACAACATTACACAACACAACAGAACAGAACATGACAGAATATACCATAGCAGCATCAGGACAAAATGAAGCACAATATAACATCACAGAACATTCCACGGCAGAGCACTATAGAGCAGCAAACGAAAGAACACCCCATAGCATACCATATCTGAGCACAGCATATCACACCTTGGCGGGGCAGATCATATCATGACACAGCGTTCAAAAAATATCATAACACGAGAACTCAGCATAGCGACGACCACGACAGAACGCAACATGCCGCAATCTGAAAGAACATAACAAAAGACGACCAATGACATAACATGACGGAGCATAACATGGCACCAAAATTAGAAAGCAGATCATGACAGAACATCACAGAAACTGCCAGAGCAGATCATGACATAACAGCACAACACAGTTGACATACCACGACAGAACATAACAGAGCATGACAGAACATTACAAATCAATGCATAGCACGCGAGAACAGAGCACGGCGTAATATCACCGAACAACCTAGAGCAGAACGCCACACAACAGATAACCACATAACATCACATAACGAACCAAACCACAGCACAAGAGAACCCCACATAACAAACCAACACCAAACCAAAAACCCCAAATGTCCCGAGAATTCCCGAGTCCCTGCCGCCGCCCCGCCGCGGGCGGCCTCCTCGCCTGCGCCCCCCAGTCTAAGGATGGGTGGTGGGAGGAAGGAGGAGGGGAAGGAGGCATGGGGCAGAAGGAGGATGACAGAGGCCCAAGGTTTCGGTAGGGATCGCTCGAAGCAAAACATGTTCATCATAGACGTGTTATTGTCGGCGCCATGACACGCCTGGCAAGTTTGGGCTGCGGCGCACATGTCGCGCGACAAGGCGAAAGTTGTGTCCGTTGCGGTGCCGCAGAAATCTGTGTGAAAGTTGTGCTCCCGCTTCAGTAGCGCACGCTTTTCGCTCGCCAATTCGTTGTCCCAGAAATACCTTTGGAACCTTCCCCAGTGGTGCCTCTCCCACAGAGACCTCTGAGACCTTCACCAGATGTAGGTTCCCCAAATGTGTCTCTGGAACCTTCTCCGAAAGTACCTTCCCCAGAGGTGTTTGTAGAATCGTCTCCTGGGATATCTGCCCCAGAGGTGCTTCTCGAACACTGCCCAGAGATCCTTCTGTAACCTTCCCTAGCGGCACCTGCCACAAATATACTGTGGCACCGCCCCTAGAGGTAACGGGCTGGGCTAGACCCACGGGTCAGTCTCGGGCTACGGCAGGCGTTGAGGAACCATTGCGTACATATCGCCAATTAGACAATGATGTCTGGCCGTCTGTGACATCCTGTACCATCATAATATTTCCTAGACATATATGTGGCAACGTCACTAGAAGTAACGGGTTGGCCTAGACCCACGGGCCAGTCCTGGGCAACGACAGGCGCTGAGGTAGATCCGATGAGGCCAGAGTTGGTGGTGAGTGAAAGCGATGGCATGTGTTGGCCTGAGAATATAAGGGTTATGCAAAGGAGCAGAGGCGGATGAGGAGGAGAAAGGAGGAGGAGGAGGACGAGGAGGAGGAGGAGGAGGAGAAAGAGAAGGGCAGAGAAGGAGAAGGATACGGAAACTGATGGTGGTCATGATGATGAAGAGGAGGAGGAAGAGGAAGAGGAGAAGGAAGTGGGGGCACATGGAATGCAAAGAAGCGGAGGAAGAGAAACCGATAGCTATGACATTGGCCTTCGTGCCCTTCGGAACGAGGACGTCTGTAGCTCCTTCTTCCGAATTCGTGGGATTACCGAAATACAAGTGCAGAGTTGCCGACACGGGTTTGCGGAAATACCCTAACGGCTTTGAAGAAATACTGCCATGTAGAGAATTTCGGAACTGTCGCTCTAACGAGTGTCAACAAACTGGTGAGGGGTAATGAAACGGAAAATGCAAAATACCAATGCTGTCGCGGGGGAAAAGCACGAATACAACAAAACGGAAGGTGCGACAAATTTACATGGAAATTGCAAAATGCCAAGCATGGAAAGTGCGAGAAACCAAAACAGAGAGTGCGAGGTACCAAAACAGACAGGAGGTACAGGGTACCGAAACATATGCAACACATACCGAAACGGCAGCGAAGGTACCGAAACGGATGCTGTGTTCCACTCGTGCCCCCCGTCCTCGAACGCCTAGTTTCTCCTTATGTCCGCCTTCCTCCTTTATTGCCCCTCTTCCTCCTCCACCGTCTCCTCCCCCTCTTCCCGCATCCTCTTTCTACCTTCTCTTGCACAAAATGGGTCGAATCGAGAGCGTCCCTGGATCGGCGGCACTGGCAGGAGGCCGTTACAAGATAAAACCCTGGGCGTTGAATGGACCAGGGCTTTTATGTGCGCACGCAGCTAGCCGCTCACTCGCAGAGAATACTGCGTTCATCCGAGGAAACATGCGACCTTCGAAGCACGTTGCCTCTTCCAGCAATGCGCGCCCTTGTGGGCACATGCGACCCTCGAAGCATGTTATCATAATTCGACGAGCCTGTGATCAGCTCACACTGCATTCGAATGTGTGGCGATCATATCTAAGGCTTCACCTGAAGAGAGAGAGAGAGAGGGGGAGAGAGAGAGAGAGAGAGAACGAGAGAGAGAGGAAACAAAACTGAATAAGTGATAGAGGCGGGAAAAACGGATTCCGCAAACCCCCATGTGGGGCCACCAAGCTGCGCGGAGGTTAGGCTTGCTGATCCCTGCGCCAATTCCAATGTCAAGTCTCCCGTGTTAGAGTCCTGCGTTTTGTTTCCTACTGTAAATTGTTGAAGTCCGCGCGATGGGGGGAGTCGAAAAGCATCCTTTTCTAGTGTTCTTGAATCGCGTTGTATGGATTTCTGGGGGGGGGAGTGGGACACAAACAAATGCACGAGATTCGCGCCATCGAGGCTCCGATCTTTCGTATATATAATACGCCATGTTCGTTTCCCTGGAGCCACTGTTTTTGGCGAATTGAAACATGTTCGCGTCGTTTTTTGCCCCGTTCAGGTGAGGAGGCTCCATCAGAACAGACATAGCGAAGCTGCCCCCTCCTCCGCGTCCGCATCTCCAGGAGATCCCCCCCACCCTCCCGCCCTCCCCACCACTGTCTTGGAGCCCCCCAAAAAGCTCCAAGAAGGCCCCGAAAGGTCTCCGGGTCACCCGGAGATGGTGCTGCAGTCTCCGGGTGGCACGGAGACGTTTCGGGACAGTCTTGGAGTTTTCTCGGGGGGCTCCCTGAGCGCCCCCAAAACGTCGTGGAGCCCTCCAAGAGAGCTCCAGGAAGGCCCCGAGAGGTCTCCGGGCCACCAGGAAATGGTGCTACAGCATCTCCGGCAGGCTGGGACACTTTCTGGGACCCTGTGAGCCTTCTCGGGGCCCCCTTGAGGCCCCAGCAGGCCCCCAAGAGGCCCACAAAGGGCCCCCCAAGAAGCCCTAAGAAGCCCCCAAGAATTTCAACAGACCTCAAGAGGCGCCCAAGAGGCCCCTCATCATGCTCCAAGAAGCCCCCAGCAAGCCCCAAGAGGCCACCAAAAGGGCTCCCAAGAGGCTCGGCGATCGTCTTAGACATGTACGAATTGATACAATGTTCGGATACATGGTGACCCCGGCGCCGCGTCTACTTGCGAAGGCTCTCCGCATGCCCCCACGCCGCTTCACAACTGGGGGCTATTTGGGCCGCATTGTGGGCCTCATGGGTCGTCTCGGTGGCGTCTTGGGTCGTCTTGGAGCCCTCTTCGGTGGCCTCTGAGGCCGTCTTGGGGCGATCCTGGCGGCCTCTTGGGCCGTCTTGGAGCAATGGAACCCAGAAAAAGCGAGAACGCTAAAATCCACCAGAAAACCAAAAGAAAAATTATGGTTCGGGCCTCGTGCAGCCCCCGAAGGGGTCCTCTTGGAGCCCCCTGGGGGCGTCTGCGGGGCGTCTGCAAGGTCTTTTGGCCGTCTTGAAGCCATTGTGAGCGTCTTGGAGCGCTCTGGGGCCGTCTCGGAGCCGTCTTGGAGCAGCGCAATCGCAGTCGAAGCTCACGCGAAGTCTTTGAATACCTTAGGTTGGAACCCTCCTGAAGGCCCTCCGAGCATCAAGCCGAGCCCTGGCGTGGAAGCTCAACTAAGATCTCTTTTGGGGCCTTCTTGGGTCTCCCTTGGGTCTTCTTGGGTTTTTTCAGAGGGCACGAAATTCAGCATAAATTTAACACAAGACGCTCTCTAATAAGGAGGCGGTTTGTCTTAAATGTGCGTTGAAGTATTGGCCCTCATGGACGCCTCTTAAAGCCCTCAGAGGGCTCCCGCAGGGGGGAGGGCCCTAAGAGGGCCCCAAGATGGCTACCCAAGAGGGCCATAATTTGTAACACCAATTTAAAGTAAGACGCTCTCCAATAAGGAGGCGGTTTGTGTTAAGTGTGCGTTGAATTCTTGGCCCTCTCGGTAGCGTCTGAAGGGCCCTCAGAAGGCCCCCGCCAGGACCCAAGAGGCCCACGAGGGCCACAAGAGGGCCCCAAGAAGGCTCCAAGAGGGCCCGAAATTTAGCACAGCACCAGCACCAGCCCCACGGGCAGCCCAGGCAGCGCCAGCAGCATCAACGCCAGCAATAGCAGCAACATCTGTAGCAATAACAACGAGAGAGGCAGCCACGGAAAGATGATTCCAAGATGGACCCAACAGGGTGTTTGAAAAGGATCACGAGATTACCCCTGTCGCCCCAAGATGCCCACCCCTGCTAAGCAATGGCCCCAATATGACCCCAGACCAGCCCTGCGGCCCCAAGAGAACTTCGAAACGAACCCACTGTGGTCCGACGGAACTAAGGCTACCGCGCGACCCCGATGTTATTCCGAGGCGGCCCCAGGACGACCCCACGAGTCCGAGACGACTTCGATATTGCCCCAAGATGACCCTTTTGAACCCTAGTTGACCCCAAGATTGTGTCAATATGGCTTCAATTTGACTCCGATGCATTTCTTCTTTCTCCCCGCGCTCTTGGATTGGGCCGATAGGACAGATGGGGGTGCTGGCCCTCCACCCCCTCGTCGTCGACTTCTTCCTCCTCCCCCTCGTCCTCGTCGCCCTCGTCGTCGTCGTCGTCGCTGTCCGCCTGGCCCCGCTGGCCCCATACATAGCAGAAAACCGGATCACGAACACAAGCCGAATCCATCCATTCTCTGCTGAAAGTCTTTGCCTTTGTATGCCTCCTGTTTATATTCGCTCGTTCCTCCTTGTCCGTATCACTATGTTCTCGTTCCTTTAATTCATACCCTGTGCTTCGTTTGTTGTCCTCTAGTGTGGTCTTCATTTTCATCCGTCGTCAAAGGCAACGCAAGAGGCCCCCAAGACGGCCCAAAAGGGCCCCAATTGAACACTCGAGCTTTCAGCCCCGCGAGGGCCAAAGAAGGCTCCAGGGGAGGCATCCCAAGAGGCATCCCAAGAGGGAAGCCAAAGCAACGCGATGATGCCCAACGCAGCCTCAAACCACACCTATTCGCTGCTTCGCTACATGGCACGAAAGAACATTCTGAAAACGTACGGGTTTCCAAACGATACGTTTTATATCTAAATGTGACGTGTCGCTTACCAATCGCCCTAGCACGAGTTCCCGACACTGTTTCACAATAGCGCCGATGCAATCCAGCACCGATATGACACGCCCCATTATGATAGAGAAGGAGCCCTCGGCAGGGGGCGAAGCCCGTCAAGATAATCCGAGCTTATTGCAAGCGCGGCCCGCTCAAACGCCTGAGCCTCCATTCGCGCGGAAAATCTGGGACTACCACCAGAGACGCTGAATGAGAAACACTGATAAGACTGAGCTAGCGATCGAAACTGAGACAGCTACGCCAACTATTGGAATCCTTTCGTACCTGCCGTTTGACGGCAAACAAGTGCAAGCAACATCGGGTTGCTCCAATACGGACGTGTATGGGCCGCAACACCAAACCGCGCCGTAGATCGCAACCCTGTGGAACGTCTTCATGCATCCAACTTGGGAACTATGTTGTACGCCTTGCTACTGTAATGCTTCAAAACGCTGGGTATTCAGCCGCTTCGCCAACCCGTGACGGACAGCGACCCTGTAAAACAACCGAAGCCTGTGGCGGCGCGCGACGCAAGAGCTCAACATAGAAAACTAGCGATCGCCGTGCCTGTGAGCGCCTGGGGCCCAGGAGGGAACGGCCAAAATCACAGCCACGGGTTCTAGCCAGCGACGCACTACGAGCGCAGAGCGGCGGCGGCCTTGTGCCGAAGCGTGCTATGCCACTGCAAGACCTCCTGCCGCCAGAGCCTCAAGCACGACTCGGCCGAAGTGCACCGCGTGCCAAGTCTCAAAACCCAGCAGTGACATGTCCCTCCATGTGGCGATGGGCGTAGCCGTGGCTCACAATACCGTTGGCATTCTCGAGCTCCACGCGCACCCGCAGTCCACGCACACTCCGAGCCCAGACGCGTCGCGTCGCTACCAAGGCGGCCTCGGAGGACATGCTCGGGTTGCCACGAGCCGCGCGCACGGCCGCGACGACTAGAGGGGCCACCATCGGATGCTCGAACTTGGCGCGCTTCAGCTCCACCTCCCTGCCGCCTGGCCAACTGCGGGATGGCCTCGCAGCGGATGTGGAAGACGGCCTGGTTGTTGGGTGGTACGCATGCCTGGGCACCCATGTTTCGTTGTGAAACACCCCTGCCGTGAGCTTGCACAAGCTTCCAGTAGGACACCCAGCCCACACCTCGCTCTCGATCCCAGCAAGGTCCTTGCCACGGATGAAGCGTGCGAAACCGCCGTTTGCGAAATTCGGGCCCCACGAATTCTTCCAAGTCCAATACGGCATGCCCGTTGCATGATCAGTGCCCCAACCGACAAGCTCGATGCAATGACCGCCTGTGTTCGGAGAGCCTTCCGTGCTGTTATAGATGCCCTGGGGGTAATTGTTGTAGAAATCATCGAAATTGGCGAAATCGTCCATGCAGGTGTGGAGCGGGCCGTTGGTCATCATCTCAATCTGCATCTTCCGGACCTGCCGATCCATGGCTGCCTGCTGCGAGCGCGGACGATAGTGGCCCGTGCTGTCGTCGCCCGAAAAAGCCTCATCATCATCCCACGAGCCGCGCGCTGGGAGGTCCTCTTCCATGATCCAGCCAAAGGAGTTCACCGTGAAGCGCTCTGGCTCAAGGCCGGTGTCGGCGCACTGCGAAAACTCGCACGGGCGGCAGCCGTTCCCCTTGGGGTCCTTTCCCGAGCACAGGCCGGAGGTGTACGGCGTGCAGCCGCCCTGCTGTGTGGAGTCCATGATGGTGAGGCCCTCGTGGTAGAAGAAACGCCAGGCATCCTGGGCCTCTCCGCCATCGCATCCCACGCTCGAAGGGTAGAGCGTGTGGCCGGGGCTGTAGCCACTCTCGTTATTGTACTTATTGTAGGTGGGCTCGTCTCTGTTGTGCATATTGCCGCAGCTGACCAGCGGCTGCGGGCTGACAAAGAGAGCCCCGCGCTCGCAGCCGTGCTCGTGGGCCTTGCCCATCGTCCCCTGGCCGATGCAGTTGCCCGCCTGCTGGAACATCCGCTGTGCCACCCCGGCGCCACGAGCTCCTGCATGTGGTAGCGTGACGGGCGCGCCACCTTCCAGGTGAGGGGGGCGGAGCGGGGTGAGGAGAAGGAGGAGGAGGAGGAGGAGGAGGAGGAGGAGGAGGAGGAGGAGGAGGAGGAGGAGGAGGGGGAGGGGGAGGAGGAGAGGGAGGAGGAAGAAGAGGAGGAGGAGGACGAGGAGAAGGCGCGCCACCTTCCAGGAGGTGGATGCAGATCCTGTCGCCGAAGGTGTTTGCTGCTGATGCCGCCCAACAATCGCCGCATTGTCCCTGGTCAACCACGAATGTCCCGCAACCAATCCACTCGTCTCGTGTGTCAAAGAATTCGGGGATCTCGATGTCGTCTTTGGCAGCGGGCTCCTCTCGGACCCGAGTCCTCATCTGCACCGAAGCTGCGTCCTTTTGGCGGCGGACGCAGGGGAAACCGTGAAGGAGCAAACCAACTAACTTTTTATTGGAGAAGCGCGAGCTGAGACACTTGATTCAGGACTGGTCCTCGGGCCCGTCCCGGGGTCCAAACGCACCAGTTTTTCGAGCCGCGTCACGCTGTGGCAACGAGGATGCTCCTCGAGGGCCAAAAGCTAACTTTTGTCTCACCCCGCCCTCGTGTGAGAGAAAGCCAAGCCTTCTCAGAAGGCGGCGGCACTTCTCAGAAGCCCTCCCGCCTTCTAAGAGACCTCCTTGGCCTACCCCGAAATAGAGCTTCTCAAAAAGCCAGAGGACTTCTCGGAAACTTCAGTAGGCGCGCCCTTCCCTCCCTCCTTCCCTCCCTCCCTCCCTCCCTCCCTCCTCTCCCTCCCTCCCTCCCTCCCTCCCTCCCTCCCATCCTCCCGTCCTCCCTTCGTCGTCGTCGTCTTCCTCCTCCTCCTCCTCCTCCACCTCCCCCACCCACTGCGGAGAAGAAAGAGGACGCGGACACGAAGCGAGCAAGAGAAAAACGAGCGGTCAAGAAGCGAAAGGGCGAGGAAAAGGCCAGCGTCCACAGACACAGCACAATGAGAAATCAAGGAAGTGCGCCCACCTACTTGAGCAGGCCGAAAGATGTTCCTCTTGAGGCCCACGTGACAAATACGAAGCGTCGTTGACTTTAGCGGATGCGGACGCAGCGATCATATCGCGCTCGCGTCGAAGTGGGGTGCGGCATATGTTATGGGAGGCTGCGGGAGTTGGCCAGGCCCGCTGTGGCGCTCGAGCACCCACATGCTATGGAGGCTGCGGGAGTTGGCCGGGGCAACTGTGGCGCTCGAGCAACGACATGTTATGGGAGGGGTTCGGAGAGGTGGCCAGGCCCGCTGTGGCGCTCGAGGTCCCGACTTGGGCACCGCAGTCGTTTTCTCTCCTCTCCTCTTCCCTCCTCCCTCATCCGCCCCTTCCGTCCTCCCTCCTCGTCCGTCCTCCCTCCTCGGTAAGGGCACCCCTCCCCCGTAGAACCATAGTTTGGGTTGCAGGTCCAAAGCTCCGTGGATATATTTCCCCTTGGGTCAGTTGTACTAATTACGATGGTAAATTTATTCCAACAAAAGAATTGGATCCACGAAACTACCGCGCCAAGAAATTGGATCCAGAAGACACGGAAATTGGATCCACGTGACTCTCGCACACACGTAATTGGATCCAAATGCACCCATGCGTTCCCATGCAACAGGGAAAAACTTTCGGCCTCGGGATGAAGAGTTTTGCACCCCTTCTGCCCTTCAGCACGCTGCACGTGTTGGCGGGGGAGACGGGGGCCAACACCCTACTGAAGAGTTGCGCACCCCTTCTGCCCTTCAGCACATTGCACGTGCTTGCGGGGGAGACGGGGGGTCAGAACCTCACGGCAGAGTTTTGCACCCCGTTTGCCCTTCAGCACGCTGCACGTGCTGGCGGGGGAGACGAGGGTCAGAACCCCACTTGATGCCAGCAGAAGAATTGGACCCACGAAGCTTCCACGCCAAGAAATTGGATCCAGGAGGCACGGAAATTGGATCCACGTGGCTCTCGCACACACGTAATTGGATCCAAATGGACCCATGCGTTCCCATGCAGGAGGAAAAAACTGCCGGCCTGGGGATGAAGAGTTGTGCACCCCTTCTGCCCTTCAGCACGCTGCACGTGCTGGCGGGGGAGACGGGGGGTCAACACCCCAGTGAAGAGTTTTGCACCCCGTCTGCCCGTCAGCAAGCTGCACGTGTTGGCGGGGGAGACGAGGGTCAGAACCCCACTGCAAAGTTTTGCACCCCTTCTGCCCTTCAGCACGCTGCGCGTGTTGGCGGGGGAGACGGGGGTCAAAACCCCATGAAGAGTTTTGCACCCCTTCTGCCCTTCAGCACGCTGCACGTGCTGGCGGGGGAAACTGGGGTCAGAACCCCACTGCAGAGTTTTGCACCCCTTCTGCCCTTCAGCACGCTGCACGTGCTGGCGGGGGAGACGGGGGGTCAGAACCCCACGATAGAGTTGCGCACCCCTTTTGCCTTCCAGCATGCTGCGCGTATTGACGGGGGAGACGGGGGTCAAACCCCAAGAGTTTTGCACCCCTTCTGCCCTTCAGCACGCTGCACGTGTTGGCGGGGGAGACGGGGGTCAACATCCCACTGAAGAATGTTGCACCCCTTCTGCCCTTCAGCACGCTGCACGTGCTGGCGGGGGAGACGGGGGTCAGAACCCCACTGAAGAGTTTTGCGCCTCTTCTGCCCTTCAGCACGCTGCGCGTGTTGGCGGGGAAGACGGGAGTCAAAACCCCATTTGAGTAGAAGCGAAGTGTCGTTGGCTCTAGCTCTGGCGGGTGCGGACGAAGCGGTCATATCGCGCTCGCGTCGAGGTAGGGTGCGGCATATGTTATGGGAGGCTGCGGGAGTTGGCCAGGCCCGCCGTGGCGCTCGAGCACCCACATGTTATGGAGGCTGCGGGAGTTGGCCGGGACAGCTGTGGCGCTCGAGCAACGACATGTTATGGGAGGGGTTCGGCGAGGTGGCCAGGCCCGCTGTGGCGCTCGAGCTCCCGACTTGGGCACCGCAATCGTTTTCTCTCCTCTTCCCTCCTCCCTCATCCGCCTCTTCCGTCCTCCCTCCTCGTCCGCCTCCCTCCTCGGTAAGGACACCCCTCCCCCGTAGAACCATAGCTTGGGCTGCAGGTCCAAGGCTCCGTGGATCCATTTCCCCTTTGGGCCCCTTGAATTAATTCGCATGATAAATTCAGATTCGCTCCAGCAAAAGAACTGGATCCACGAAGCTTCCGCGCCAAGAAATCCAGGAGGCACGGAGACTGGATCCAAATGGACCCATGCGTTCCCATGCACGAGGAAAAAACTTTCGGCCTGGGGAAAAGAGTTGTGCACCCCTTCAGCCCTTCAGCACGCTGCACATGTTGACGGGGGAGACGGGGGTCAACACCACATTGAAGAGTTTTGCACCCCTTTTTGCCCTTCAGCACGCTGCACGTGCTGGCGGGGGAGGCGAGGGTCAGAACCCCACTGAAGAGTTTTGCACCGCTTCTGCCCTTCAGCACGCTGCGCGTGTTGGCGGCGGAGACGGGGGTCAAAACCCCACTTGATTCCAACAGAAGAATTGGATCCACGACGCTTCCACGCCAGGAAATTGGATCCAGAAGACACGGAAATTGTATTCAGAACCCCACTCAAGAGATTTGCACCCCTTCTGCCCTTCAGCACGCTGCGCGTGTCGGCGGGGGAGAAGGGGCTTAAAACCCCACTTGAGCAGGCCGAAGAAATTTTCCTCTTGAGGCCCCCATGACAAATGCGAAGTGTCGTTGACTTTAGCGGATGCGGACGCAGCGGTCAGATCGCGCTCGCGTCGAGCTGGGATGCGGCATATGTTATGGGAGGCTGCGGGAGTTGGCCAGGCCCGCTGTGGCGCTCAAGCACCCACATGTTATGGAGGCTGCGAGAGTTGGCCGGGACAGCTGTGGCGCCCGAGCAACGACATGTTATGGGAGGGGTTCGGAGAGGTGGCCAGGCCCGCTGTGGCGCTCGAGCTCCCGACTTGGGCACCGCAATCGTTTTCTCTCCTCTTCCCTCCTCCCTCATCCGCCTCTTCCGTCCTCCATCCTCGCCCGCCTCCCTCCTCGGTAGGGACACCCCTCCCCGTAGAATCATAGCTCGGGCTGCAGGTACAAGGCTCCGTGGATCCATTTCCCCTTGGGTCCCTTGTATTGGTTACTATGATATATTTATTCCAGCTAAAGAATTGGATCCACGAAGTTTCCGCGCCAAGAAATTGGATCCAGAAGACACGGGAATTGGATCCACGTGACTTTCGTGCACGCGTAATTGGATCCAAATGGATCCATGCGTTCCCATGCAAGAGGAAAAAACTTTCGGCCTGGGGATGAAGAGTTTTGCATCTCTTCTGCCCTTCAGCACGCTGCACGCGTTGGCGGGGGAGACAGGGGTCAACACCCCACTGAAGAGTTTTGCACCCCCTCTGCCCGTCGGCACGCTGCACGTGCTGGCGGGAGAGACGGGGGTCAGAACCCCACTGAAGAGTTTTGCACCCCTTCTGCCCTTCAGCACGCTGCGCGTGTTGGCGGGGGAGACGGGGGTCAAAACCCCACTTGATTCCGGCCATTGGATCCACGAAGCTTCCACGCCAAGAAATTGGATCCAAAAGACACGGAAATTGGACCCACGTGGCTCTCGCACACACGAAATTGGATCCAAATGGATCCATGCGTTCCCACGCAAGAGGAAAGAACTTTCGGCCTGGGGATATATGAAGTGTTTGCCGGCACCCGAGTGGAAGGCCGAAGACCACCCGGGTGCCCGCGACAGGGCGCACCTCCCAAAGCAGCGACAGGCAGAGGTGAGGAAGGAGGAGGGAGCCATGAGGGACCAAAAGACGGAGGAGACGGGCGCGCGGCGGGAGGGTCTGAGCCCCCCCCCCCCCCTGGGCGCTCGCGGAACCGCCGGAGGCATGGAGCAGGGAAGGAGAGGGGGGGAGAAGTGACTTATCAAAACGACGCCCAGGCTCCTGGCAGCTCCCCAGCGGCGGGCTCGCGGCGTAGTTTCGTCGAAAGTATCGGGCGATTGTTTGCCGACTTGTCTTAAACTCGGCAGAAAGTCGTGCGGGACATCCCGCGCCCAGCTGGCCTGGGGGCGGCGCGGCCAGCTGCGGCTCAAGGAGCGGGGGGGCGGCGCGCAGTGCGCCGGCAGGCGACGGCCAAACGCCTGCGGCGGCCGAAATGGGTCTCCAAAGGGGCTCCCGCACCCGGCGTTTTGACAGCAATTCAAAATGCCGGGTGGCTGGCATTTCTGGGCGCGGGCGGGGGGCCGCGACGTCGCGCCAGGCGCTCAGCCCCGCCTGGCCTCGCGCCGTGGCCCGTGCTGGGTGGCCGCCAGCACGGCGTCGGCCGCATGGCGCTGCAGCGCGCTCCCCATGGCCTGGTGGAGGCGCCGGATCGCCGCCGAGCGCTCGGTGGCTCCAGTCGGCGCCAGCCGGCGAAGCAACGCCACCGCGTCTTCCACCAAGCGGCCGTGGTCCTCGATGACGAACGGGGCCACAGGGGCGCCTAAGTAGCGCGCTCGCTTGCAGCGCTCCGCGGCCGCCGCAGCCGCGCCTTCGCGGCGCGGCGCGCCAAGGCCCAGGGCGTCCTGGGTACAGGCGCTGACCACCGTGAGGTCTACCAAGATTGGCGCTCCCCCACTGGGCGCGCCTCCGGATTCGCGGGCGCCGCGTGGGGCACCAACACTTCCCTGTGCACGGTGCACCCGTGCTCCTCGCACCACTCAGCCAGGACTGCACACCCAGCGTCGTGCTGGCGCACGCGCCAACCTCCCACAGCGCACCCGCGCGCGTGGACACATTTTGGGTCCAGGGCCTCGCCGCACACTCTGCCGTCGGGTTGGCGGTGTTGGCAGTAGCCCGCGCAGAGCGGCAGGTCCAAGTGCAGCCGCGTCCTGAGGGCGATGTCGAACTGCGAGTCCGTCAGGCGGTGGCACGGCCGCGTCCACCTCTTCCACCTCCTCCTTCTCCTCCTCCTCCTCCTCGTCGACTCGTCGTCCTCCTCCTCCTCCTCCTCCCCCTCCCTCCTCCGCTTCCTCCCTCCCTCCCTCCCTCCCTCCCTCCTTCCCCCTTCCCTCTCGCTTCCCCCCGGCGCCCGCCGCCGATCCTCGGCCTCGCCCACCGCGAGGAACTCCCTGGCAGTCCCGCTCGCCTCGCCCGCCGCGCGGAGGGCCTCGGAACGCGAGCCTGCGCCGCCCGGAGGCCCGAGGCGGTGCTGCTGGACGGCCATCAGCAGGCCTCCTGGAGGCTGTTTGTTCATTCCCGCCTCCTCCTCCTCCTCCTCCTCCTCCTCCTCCTCCTCCTCCTCCTCCTCCACCTCCTCCTCCTCCTCTCCTCCTCCTCCTCCTCCTTCTCCTCCTCCTCCTGCTCCTCCTCCTCTCCCTCCTCCTCCTCCTCCTCCTCCCTGCGCTCCTACGCCTCCCTTTCTTCTTCTTTTCTAAACTCCTCCCCTTCTCCTCCCTCCGCCTCCTCCTCCTCCGCCTCCTCCTCCTCTCCTCCTCCTCCGCCTCCTCCTCCTCCTCCTCCTCCTCCGCCTCCCCTCCTCCTCCTCCGCCTCCTCCTCCTCTCCTCCTCCTCCTCCTCATCCTCCTCCTCCTCCTCCTCCTCCTCCTCGCCTCCGCCTCCTCCCCTCCTCCCTCCTCCTCCTCCTCCTCCTCCTCCTCCTCCTCCTCCTCCTCCTCCCTCCGCCTCCGCCTCCTCCGCCTCCTCCTCCTCCTCCGCCTCCTCCTCCTCCTCCGCCTCCTCCGCCTCCTCCGCCTCCTCCTCTCCTCCTCCTCCTCCTCCTCCTCCTCCTCCTCCTCCTCCTCCTCCTCCTCCTCCTCCTCCTCCTCCTCCTCCTCCTCCGCCCCCTGCTCCTCGAAGGGCTGGAGGTGGGGCGAATCCGATAACCCGGATTATCGCTGGACCCTGACAAATACGGTTTCTCCTAGCGAGCCAAGGATTTATCCATATCCACCCACCGTCTGGGGGATCGACCCCAAGTGCGCCGACGAGCTGTGGATGCGGATCAGTTCGCCTCCGTGGGCTCGAATTTAGCCATATCCATTGCCTGCCGACGTCCCCAAAGTCAAACCCCGAAGCGGTGGAAATGGGAACTTTCCCCGCCGCGGACTCCTGCCATGAAGCAGCCTGCGAGCAGCAGCTTCAGCCTTCGGTTCTCTCGCCTCAGCGCTCCGAACGGGTCCTCCGGCGCGAGGTTCGCGGGCGGCCCCTGGGCAGGCGACGCCATGGCTGGGGCACGGCGTGGCAGTCAAAAAACAGGCTGCGTCAAAGGCTTCAGCCAAAACACCTGGATCGGAACATAATACCTGGGCCATGACTCAGGCCCAGCGCGGGCAGCAAGGGGGAAATCGAGGAGGAAGTTAGAGGCCCTTACCCCTCGCTCTGGCCAGGAGTTCGAGGCGAACCCTGCTGCGGCAACGAGGGGCCGTAAGGAGGCCCAGGAAAGCCAAAACGACGATGGGGGAGCGGCATCGGTGCCTTTCATCTCCTCCCTGGAGAAGAAGACGAAGAGGACGACAAGACATAGCAGAGCCCCGCTGGCCCTTTGGGGAGCGCAGGGCTGCGAGACTGCCCACCGCCCGCCCTCGCAATTCAGCACGGCGAGAGGAGGAGCAAGACGAGGAGGAGGAGGAGAAGGAGGAGGAGGGTAAAGAGGAGAAGAAGGAGCTGGAGCTGGATAAGGAGAAGGAGGGGAAACAACGCGCATTCCCCCCCAAGGCTCGAAAACCGACGAGAACCGGCGAAAACGCCCCAACACCTTGGGACCTGGGGGGAGAGGGGAAGAAAACGGGAGGAGGAGCAGGAGGAGGAGGAGGAGGAGGAGGAGGAGGAGGAGGAGGAGGAGGAGGAGGAGGAGGAGGGGGGAGAGGGAGGAGCGCTAGTACCTTCCCGAGTCTGTCAAGCTCAGCCTCGACGCCTCGGCCTGAGCCAACTGTATGGCCCAAGCGCGTTAGGCGGAGGTGGGAGAATCGAGCAATTGTCCGACAGTTTCGTGAGCGCCGCTTCCAGGGCCACGAGGGGCTGGTTTAAGTCGAGAGGCTGACCATGCTGCCGACTGACCACATCCTTGGCTATATGGTAAATACAAAAGAACATGGATGTAGCCACCACGGAATTTTCACGAGTTGAATCAAACGCTGGGTAGTGAGCTGGCAGGCCGAGCCCGAGGCGGATGAGGGGACACGGACGCACCACCGCACGAGGAAGACACACGAGGTAAATGAGCCGAGGGCATCGCAAGTACTGGGCAATGCTGTCTGGACGGCGGCAACAGCCAACTCAGAATTCCAGCGCTCCCCGGTTACGTGCATGCGGGCCACCGAACAGAAGCAGGAGCACGAAGCAGGATCTCCGGAGCCAGATCCCACCGCTCCTGAAGTCGTGTGGGGGTGGTGGTTAGCCAGGACCGCACGCGACGCCCAATCAGGAGGTGAAGCTTATCAGGGAAGACCTCGTCATAAGTAAACTTGAGATGTACACTCTGCATGTTCGGCCTCCTACAAGCCTCGGCTGCTTCTCGCACGGCCCGGCGCCCATTGGCGCTGAGCGGAGCGGAGCTGAGAAGACGACAGAGGAGGGCGCTACACGGCTCGCCGGAGCGAAGGGCTTCCAAAAACTGTGCAATCGACTGATTCATCTTCCAGCGCGGCGCACACCCTTCGCTCCGAATCAGACCCTGTGCAGGAATGTGATCGACAGCTCACGTGAGGAGATCGGCAGCCTGCTTGAGGCGACGATAAAGAGGGCCCCACGCAGTGTCGAGGGTCATAGAAGCTGATCGCCAAGCCAGGAGGGAGGAGGAGGAGGAGGAAGAGGAGGCGGAGGAGGAGGAAGAGGGAAGGACCAAAATAAAAATTCAAGATGCACCAACTATGTTGCAATGCACCGTGTTCGCCCCAAGTCCCCTTCTCAGAAGTCCTTACAAACCTTCCTTTCCACTTCAAGAAGCACCCCTTGAAAGAGCAGCAGCCCATGGGCGCACATCATCCCAGCGAGTAGCAAGGAATGCGCACGGGTATGATCGAATAGTTCCGGGAGGTGTCCCGCCAGGCCCCTGCTTCGAAAAGGGGCCGCCCCCATGCGTGCGTAACTAGCGCATAAGCTTTCACATATGGCCATGAGCGCTGAGGAAGCCTCAAGCAGGAGCCCGATGTTGAAAATAAGCCGGCCCCCGTCCACAGATTATATCCAGCCTCCAAGATTGAAAGCGGGGCCGCCCTTGATCCGCGCACCTGTTGCGTAAAACGTCTGGTCTCTAATTTCGCAAAAATCTCAGGCGCAAGCCCCGCTCTGAGCCGTCCGTGCAAACGCTGCAGTTCGTTCCGACGAGCGCGCGCGGCGCCGAGGCGAAAGCTCCGGCTTGAAAACGGTCCCTCCTTGATCCACGAAGCTGCTGCAAGCCCGAACCTCCCGAAGGCCGGGACCGCCTCGCTGTGGCCTGCCCCGCCGACGGCGCGGCCCCCGCGGGCGGCCCGGCCGCGGCGCAGGGGCCCCCGCCGGGCCGCTTCTTCGGCAGGCCCCCCTGGGGAGGAGGAGGGAGGAGGAGGAGGAGGAGGAGGAGGAGGAGGAGGCGGAGGAGGAGGCGAGAGCTCCAATTTGTGAGCGGCCCCTTTTCCCATCCTTCGCAGCTGCTGCAGCTGCTGCCGAAGACGAGCGTGCGCGGCCCACGGCGCGAGCCCCGACCGCCGATGGGCGTGTTTCCTTCCTCCTCCGCTCCGCCTCCCCTCCTCTCTCCTCCTCCTCCTCCTCCTCCTCCTCCTCCCTCCTCCTCCTCCTCCTCCTCCTCCTCCTCCTCCTCCTCCTCCTCCTCCTCCTCCTCCTCCTCCTCCTCCTCCTCCTCCTCCTGGGGCCGGTGCAGACTGCTACCAATAGTCTTGTGCCGCGCGAGGGCGGCAGCCCTCTCTTGAAAAAGGAACCGCCCCCCCACCCACCCTGGAAACTGCTGGCTCAAGCACATGCGCGCGGCGCCTGGGCGGGAGCTCCACTTTGAGAACGATCCCCCCTTCCATCCTTCAAGAAGTCCGGGCAAAAGAAGTAGACGAGCTTGCTCGGAGCTGAGGCGAGAGCTCCAATTTGAAAACGAACGGCACTCCATCCTGGAAGCTGCTGCAGGCCTGGAGGAGGAGGAGGAGGAGGAGGAGGAGGAGGAGGAGGAGGAGGGGCGGAATGGGAGGGATGAGCACGCAACTGCAGTCAATCAGAGGAGGGGGAGGCGGGTGGGAGGGGGCCCGTCCCAGGGCCGTCCTGGGCGTCGAACCCGCTGCCGTCGTGGGGCGGGTTCGGGGCGGCGCGAGGGGCCGCGGGCTCTCCCGGCAGCGCACGCCACGACGGCAGCGGCGACGAAGACGGGGCACCACCCTCCACCGCGCAAACTCCTTCCCTCGTGCACCCATCACCCGCAGGTGGGGTGAGAGGGGCGACATCAAAATCAGGATGGCACTCGAACTCACTGTCACAATCGGGGGCGGAAGAAGCATCGAACTCGGGCTGAGGGGGCACCGAGAATCGGAGATACTCGTCCAAAGCAACCCGAGCTGGTGTTCCAACAGTGGCAGGAGGGGCACGAGAGGCAAGAACTGATGCCTCCGCCGCTGCGACCGCCTTCGGCGGTCCGCGGTAGGAGGGAAACGCCCCCCGACGGAGGCGGGACAAGTTCTCTCGCCCCTTCCCAGTAGGCGGTTCGCACTGTCGGGACAACTGACGGCCATCGACTGCGGCCGTGCACCCGCACGCCGCACAAAACGTCAGTCCATGGCGGGCCCATTCGTGCAACGAGAGGCTCTCGTGGAGCCTGACGCCTCCAACCTCGCACGCCCTCAGCACGGGAGAGATTCCATCACCAGTGACCCGCGCAAAGGAGGCGGGGGCGGAGGGGGCAGGCTCAGGGGCCGAGGCAGGGCAAACTGGCGCGGCGAAGGCGAACAGCTTCGCTCGAGGCACAATCTGCCGGCACGAGGGGCACATCCAAGGATTGCTGCAAAGGGGAGGGGGGGCGCGACGAGGAGGCAATCAACAGGTCCAGACGAGAAACACGCTTAGTCCTAGGCTGGGAAAGTCGACGACCAAACTCAGGGGCAGCCTGCAAAGTGTCAATGAGCGCTCTCCTGGCTCGGCGACGAAAAAAAGAGGGCAATGGCATCATAATGGTCGGTAAGCGGAATCGGGCGGCGAATAGCAGTGCCCCACCCCCTCCTCGCATCGCAGCCCACCCCGCCCAGACGTCAGCACACGCATTGCCGTGGGAGAGGAAGGCCTGGAAGGGGGTGGTGATACGGTCAGGCTCGACCTCCAAATACGAGGCAGTCCAGACGACATCCACGGTCCCGGGGCCCCGTTTCTGCGCAGCCTGCCGCACTCGCACCCAGAGATCTGCGCCGCAGCCGATGGGGCGCTGAGCGCGGCCAGCCCGCCAGCCATCAACCACAGGTCTACAATCGCAAACGTAAACGATTTTGCCGACCGAATAATCAAGACCCAGGGCCAGCGCCAGGAGCTCAGATCGGGGCACAGTCTGACGGCGGCCTGGGAGACAGGCAGCCACACCGCAGACGGGGATCCACAAGGCCCCCGAAGGGCCCCGCCAAGGCACGACGCATGACCACCACAGCTGCTCCGAAGCGTCGCCGACGCTCGTCAGAACTGCGCTCTCCCCATGACCCATCCCCGAACAGATAAAGGGGGGGTGTCCACCAGGGGCCGAGAGCACCTATAGCAAGCACTGCCCGAGAAAAATAGGGTCTCCAAAACCAGGGCCTTCTACAAATTCAGGAACCGTGAGACTCGCTGAGGGCAGGCCTCTCAACCAGAGGGAACGGATCAGAATCAGCATTGGCCAACGCCTGAGGGACCCAGGCATCAGTGGACGAGTAGTCTGGATGCGAACAACTTGTTGCGCACCCCCAAATGCGGCGGCGCAGCGTCTCTGGCACAGAGCGGCAGCGGGCACAGGCGAGGTCGGCCACAGATCCAGAATCCATCTGCCCCTGCTGCGTCCATTGACCGCCTGAAATGACTGCAATGTTCGCGGGCCGCAAGTCCATGGCGCCTTCCTTGGCGAAAGCATCCAACTCGCGCTGCACGACATGCAAATCCGCCCCGTGGGCGAGTGGGTCACCCTGAGGGTGCCGTGAAGCCGCGGCCCAGGACACAGCACGGCAGCCGAGCTCGAGATCCAAAAGAAGCTCGCTGAAATCATGCAGGACGGCGTCGCTGTAACCGTCCTCGCCGAAAGAGAAGAAGGTGTAGCCCGCGGGCCCCTCGGCGCCACCGGTGCGACGCCAACGGGTGGCCTCCCGGGGCTCCCAGCCTGCCTGCAACAGGGTGGCTTGCAGCGCGGCGATGGGCCCACGGACACCTCGCCATCTAACACGGTCGCCCAGCCCAGCGCGCACACGAGGACAAACTCGAGCAATCCGAGCATGTCAGTAGGGATGAGCGAGCCACATCCTGAACCATGATGTAAGA